AGGAAGAATGATAGGTCTGCGTGTCTCACTTTCAGTGCTGTTAAGACTGTTAATTCAGATGTTTATAGTCTGATCTATCCACTGGAAGATGTCTCGTCAGTCTTTCATATAATGGCTTTACGTTCTAACTTTCATTTTTTTCTTTTTTTGGGAGGTTTTTGCTACAGAGTGTGTGTGTGCTCACACCAGAAAGAGAGTGAGAAATCACCACCCCCCCAGGGGGGATGGCCATGCCACAAGCCTTTCTCCTCCATTCTCCTTGGGATCTTGGGCATGCGCACTCATTCACCCGGCATGAGTTTTAAGCCACCAGGTCTAGGACTAGAACCGCGGTCAACTATGTGGGAGTCCAGCAGTGTAACCATTATGCCATCTACTGGTCCCCGTTTTACTTCTTTTTAAATTGCCTGAGGGTAATTTTGCTTTCCAGGAGATGAAGAAAGCACTTCTCCCGCCCATGGGGCTGTGATCATGCTGCAGTCCTTCTCCGTCATTTCTCCATCCTGTTGGGACTGTAAACATGCATGCAAATGCTCCTGGTATATTTTTTAAGCCATCGAGCTGGGCTTTGAACCACAGTTGGCCATGTGGGATCTGGCTCCCCTAACCATTGGACTATAAGGCCAGGCCAAAGGCTTTACTTCTGTTAAAATCCCTTCTCCAGATAAATTTCTTCAGCAGTGTTAGTGCAGATTTCAGAAAGAGTAAGGTAGGGGATATGTGGAAACAGTAGGATGGGCGGTTGGCTTTGCAGTTTTCTGCTCAAATCTTTTAAGTCTTACGAGACATGTTGTCCCATGAATGGATAAGAAAGCCTAAGACAACTTTATAAGTATAATATTATCATTTAAAGGGCTGGCAGATGGCATAGCAGTTGTGTTGCTGGACTCTCACATGGCCATCTTCCTTTCTGTCTCTCTGTTTCTCTGTCTCTCTGGTGAGCACATGTGCTCTATAGGGAAAATCTCTCTCAAAAAAATTATCATTTAAAAATGTCCAGTGAGGGGCCAGCAGATGGTGTAGCAGTTACATCACTGGACTCCCACATAGTTAACTGCGGTTCGAGTCCTGGACTTGGTGGCTTAATATTTACACTGGGCACATGCGTATGCATGCTTAAGATCCCAGGAGGAGAATGGAGGAGAGGAATTACAGTGTGGCCATTACCCTGGGGGGTGATTTCTCACTTTCCCTCTGATGTCTCTTTCCCCCCTTGGAGAGTGCACATGCCCTAAAGCAAAAACCTCTAGAATAAAAAAAATTTTTTCCCACTGATACCATGAGAAACTTTAAATATAAAAAGGTGAAATAATTATACAGTGAATAAATGTCTAGCCATCATTTAGATTTAGTAATTTTGCTATATTTAATTCATCGCTCTATCTTGTCTGAAAACACTTTGGAGATACTATGACACTTCAGCTCTGATGTCCTGATAAAATGCATCACCTAAGAATCAACATTAAAAGAGAGATAGGAAGCAAGAGATCACCCCTCCAGGGGGCTGGCCACGCCACAGTCCCTTCTCCTCTCAGGATCTTGGGCACACACCAGCATTCTTTTTTACTCGGGGGGACTCGAACTGTGCTCACCTACATGGGAGTCCAGTGACATAGCCATTACGCCAACAGCTGGTCCCAGCTGTAGGTGTTTTTTTTTTTTTTTAAAGTCCTTATTCCCATCAAGTGGTCATGTGTGCACACTGAAACAGAGTTCCTACATTTATTCTGTGTATAATTTCTTTATTATGCTTATTGTGCTTCAAGTATCTTCTAGTTTTGTGTTTGCATTCTCTTCTCCCCCCTTTTTTTATTTCTAATTTTGTCAGAGGATGTATATGCCCACCAGATAGAGACAGAGAAGAGAGAGAGAAGGAAAGTGAGAAAGCACTCCCTGTGGAGAATGGTCCTTTCTCCATTTCTCCCTCTGTTCAGGATTTGGGGATGCACACACACACACACCCAGTATGGTTCTCAAGCCGCTCAAGCTACAGGTTCCAGGACTTGAACTGTATTGTCGGCCACATGGGGTCTAGCTGCTTTAATGACCATACTGCTGGCTTGTCCACCCCCCACCTTTTCTTAAAATAAAGGAATGTTGAAGCATCATTTCCTTAAACATTTTGTAGGAAGTATTTTTTTAGTAGTTTTAAATAGTGCAAAGTTGTTAGTCTTGGAACTTCTTAAAATTAAGAAAAAAAAATTTAGTTTGACTTCTTGAATTTTCAACAGTACAGTCTTAGCAAAGGACTTCTATATCTTTCTGATATGTTATTTTACTTATTTTAGAATGCCTTAATTCCTTCGTATGTCAATACTTAAATGCCAGTACATTTATAGATCCTTCTTTATACCAGAGACATTTTGGACAAATTTCTATTGACTCTTGAAAGTTTCTGTCTACCTGAAGATTGTCTGGTTGTTATCAACTGGTTGGTTATTATGTTTTCATCAAGATAATCATATTATCTGCAGTTTGCAATATATAAAAATATTTTTATTTTTAAAAGGTTGGCGGCGAGATAGAGAAAAGAGAGATGATCAAGATGAAGTTTCCAGTGTGAGAAGTGAAGGTGGTAATATCCGAGGTTCCTTTAGAGGCCGAGGACGGGGAAGAGGACGGGGAAGAGGACGAGGCAGAGGAAATCCTCGATGTATGACATGCTTTTTTTGGTTTGTTTAATTAAATTAATTCTGAAGAACAAAAGCAAAACTCTCTTAGTTTTTCATACTCTGCTCTATTATGATTTGAATACTTTCTTGGTCTAATATTAATAATGATTTTACGTTTATTATCCCTCAAAGTATTTAACTTTAGATGTTTTTAAGGAATTATTTTATTTAACTTTAATTGACTTATTTTTAAAAATTTGACCAGAGAGGGGACAGAGAGAGAAAGAGAAAGGAAGCTGCCAGGTCCAGGACTTGAACTGCAGGCAGCCACCTAGGAGTCCAGCAACCTTAACCACCATGCCCCCCTAGAGTTTTTTCTTAGTAATAACTGTTACTTTCTATTAATCTGTGATAACCTTTCTTTTTCTTTACTTACATCAAGTGAACTTTGATTATTCATATGGTTACCGAGAACATGGTGAAAGAACTGAGCAACCGTTTCAGACAGAGCTTAACACCAGCATGATGTATTACTACGATGACGGTACAGGTGTAAAAGTGTATCCTGTGGAAGAAGCATTGCTTAAAGAGTATATTAAGCGTCAAATGTAAGTTGTGGCAGCAAAAAGCAAGTAGGATGGTAAAAGCTGTTGAAATTTCAAATTTTAATGATATCAGTGGTAAATATTAACATTTTAAGTTACTTTTTCGTAAAACGTGAATGTTAATATAGATATTTTTTTCTAGGAAGTATTAGTAAAAGAAGTACGATATATTTTAAATATTTGCATTTAGTTAATGTTGTAAAAGCCTCTTGGTTTCTCTACTCTTTAAATATGATTTTAAAAAATTCATGGAGGGGGAACCAGCAGTTAGCGTAATGGCTATGTCGCTGGACGCCCTCATAGTCGACCGCGGTTTGCGTCCTGGTCCCGGTGGCTTAAAACTCACGCCGGGTGCGTGTGTGTGTGCCCAAGATCCCGAGAGGAGAATGAAGGGATTGCGGCGTGACCATCCCCCCTGGGGGGTGATTTCTCGCTTTCTGTCTCTCTGTCTCTATCTGTCTGGCGAGTGCATGTGCCCTATAGCAAAAACCTCTCAAAAAAAAAAAATCATGGAGAAATGATTTATGTATAGTTACATTGTTATTTAAAGGATATTAAGTTAAAATGTCATGGCATAATATGAGTAAAATGTAAAAGTATAAAACATTTGGGCCAGTGGGAGGTGTGGTGGTCAAGGCACTGGATCCCACATGGCCAGCTGTGCAGTTTGAGGCAGTGGTTTCGATTCAGTGGCTTGAAAAACAAAACAATCCTGAGAGAAGAAAGGAGAAGGGATTATGGAGTTACCATCCCCCCAGGGGGTGGTTTATCACTTTTCCTCTCTGCACCTTTCTAGCAAGCATGTGCCCCTATGGCAAAAATCTTAAAACTAAAACAATAAAAACCTGAATAGGTGAAATTTGACTCAATTGCAAGTAGATGTTTATATTAAAATTTGCAAACAAACATAAATAGGGAAATGGTGATAGCTATCTTAGGACTTTCTTAATGGCAATTGGCTTTTGAATCGTAATCTAGCTTTTTTTTTAAAGATTTTTTGCTAGGGACCAGCAGTTAGTGTAATGACTATGTCTCTGGACTCCCATGTAGTCGACCGTAGTTCGTGTCCTGGACCCGGTGGCTTAAAACTCACGCTGGGCGTATGTGCGTGCATGCCCAAGATCCCAAAAGGAGAATGGAGGAGAAGGGATTGTGGCGTGGCCATTCCCCTGGGGGGTGATTTCTCATTTTCTGTCTCTGTCTGTCTGGTGAGCACACATGCTCTATAGCAAAAACCTCTCAAAAAAAAAAAAAGGATTTTTGCTATTGGGCACATGTGCTCACTAGAGAGAGGGAGAGCAAGAATGTGAGAAGTCGGGGACCAGCAGGTGGCGTGGTGGTTAAGGTGCTGGCCACTCCCACATGGCTGACTAGGGTTCAAGTCCTGAATCTGGTGGCTTGATTTCTCACTTCCTCTCTCTCTCACTCTGGCCCTCTGTCCCTTTCTGGTCACATTAAAAAATAAATGAATGAATAAATAAATTAAATAATTATTAAAAAAAAAAAAAGTGTGAGAAGTCACTCCCCCAGCAGGGACGGCCACACCATAATCCCTTCTCTAGTCTCCTCTCCGGATTTTGGGCACACATACACATGTGCCCATGCCTGGCATGAGTTTTAAGCTACTAGGTCTGTGACTTGAACCACCATCGACGACGTGAGAGTCCAGCAACCTTCTCTGCTTTATCTGCTGGTACCCTCTTATTTGTCTTTTAATGTATACTATAGGGATGCTACCCAAGATTCTTTTTTTTTTTTTTGGAGAGGTTTTTGCTATAGGGCGTGTGCGCTCGACAGACAGACTGAGAGAGACAGAGAGACAGAAAG